CCCATGCCTGCACTGATTTGTTGAGAATATAGTGTCATGCCCTTTAGACAAGGCAGGAAGACACAGTATTGGTGCCTCCTGATAATCTCCTTCAAAGACTTACGTATGCACTATTTTGCTTTAAGTCTGACATCACTACTAATAGTCAGTTAAATGGGTCTCCTACTTAGGTCAGTACATGTGTGTATATCTTCAGCGAAGTAAAGAGATAATGAGAAGAGTCGGTGCTTGAATTCACTTTTGAAATGTCAATAACTGCTAAGATATATTAGCCTGTAACTCCCTGGTGTTCAATAAATCATGGTAGGGAGACAAGTTTTTCATGTTCGCAATGAAAGTGGCAGGAGAAAACGTCAACTATCTATTTTTAAAAGGTCAAAAGTCTCTAATACTTTTAAGAAAAATAGCTTTTCTTTTGTAACCTGTTTAAATCAATGTAGTAGCATTTTGCTGTCACTTTAGAGGAAAGCTTTCAAAAGAAGATTTCAGACTGGCTTGTTTCTGATGAGGTTGAAAGAAATAAGAGTTCCTCCATCTATGACATGGAGACAGAGGTAGCCAGGTGTTTAATTTTTCAGTTCAGACACATCGCAGGCTGTTCCTGAGAGTGCTCACCCAGTGAAGGCTGGGCAGGATTACCTGTGTGACACCACACTGCTGCTGATTCCTTCCTAAGCTTGACATAAATTGTGGCATCAGTCAATCCACTGAGTAAAACTGACCTGACAAATTGTTCTAAAGAGTATTTATATTTAAAAAAGGGGGGGGAGATAAATTTTTGGCCTTTTTTTTTTCCTCTTCTCTTTTCCCTAAGTTAAAGTGAAGCTATTGGTTCGTTGCAGTGCAAAGACCCCAGTGAGGCCACCTGCTCTGGGAATTGGTACCAGCTAACTCCAGTATCACTGCTAATTGCAGATACAATCCCTATAGAGTGAAAAAAATTGTTCACAGGAATCCACACAATATTTATGCCACAAAAAACTACCTCAAAGACTGAGGATAAAAGACTAAAAGGACGCATTGTGATGTATCACAGGAAATAGAAGGTGAATAGATAAAGTGTATAGCCCATGTACGTACCTGCTCTGGAAGGGAATTTAAGGAAAGCTGCAGGAGTTTGTGGGGAGTGGGTCACACCCAGCAGTACCGAGGAGGGCAGTGTGGCTGGAGAGGGGAGAAATACCCCCTTCACGCCATGTGCCATGTATGTGGGCAAGGTGCACACACCAAACAAGTGCCCAAGAAACCTTGATGCACAGGGCAGCCCCCTCTGCTAGTCTGCTATGGGGAGATGAAATGCAGAAACCCATAAATCCCACATTTACTGTGGCGATCATATAGCCAAGCTCACCAGTTGGTCACCAGTTACTCTGTGTTTTTTTTGCTAGTATTATTAAGTCTTTGTACTTGAGAGCTTACAGCCCCGGGCATCGTGTAAGGGACTGATGCTGTGATCTGTCTCTAAGCTGGTCTTCCATCATTCATATGCTTTATTCTTCTTTTGACACGAGTTTCCACACTTACTCATCTATTTTAAACTTCTCTATCTGTATATATACACAGATACATACACAAATATTTGTTTTAAATAAGCACATTTCCTAGCAGGGGAAAAATGACCCTATCCCAGTCTGTGTGCTCTGCTCTGATTCTGAAAGAAATTCTTATCATAAAAGACATATAAATGTCCAATCTTTTATTCTTTCATTATTTTGAAATGTGAGACCACTTGACTGCAAGACCGTTAGTTAGTGAGTTTAATACAGTCTTGCTTTTGCTGTAAGACTTTGATTAGTCTAAGAGAGTTTTTTCTTTGGAGGACTTCGAAGAAACTGACATGAACTATAAATTCCTTGCTAATAGAATTATTTAAAAGGCCATTTCAATGTATCTTGATTTTTATGGGTTACATTTTGAGTGCAGCTGGTTTGAAGAGGAATATCTCCTATGCTTCGTGATGGGCTCTGTCACAGATGTCATGAAGACGTACCCTTAGCTCTGCCTAGGGGCAGCCTTGCAGGCAGGTTAAACCAAGCTAAGGCTGTACTGTCACTAGGCAGCACCTTCCTCCTCCTCTTTTCCATCTCTCTCCCTGCTGTCACTGGCTCTGGCTATCACACATGAAAATGCTACACTGCAGTCAGTGGCTTGTGACTAGGTAATATCGATTACAGTTTGCTAAGTTAGTGGCCAATTACAGGGAATTCTTGAGTCGTGTGATATTGTCACACCTGAAAGTCTTACATTCTCTTTGAAGAAAAATAAAAACAATTATCCTTTGTGCCTTTGTAAAACATTTTTACTGAATGGCTTTTCCTCTTTTAGGCTGTGTTTGACTAAACAATTTATGCTTTTGAAGATCACTGTTGATTTCAATAGAGCTGTGCATGCAGTGTAAACGAAGCTTAGGCAGATGCCTAAGCCCTTTGCAACCATGGGATGGATGAAGTTTTGGAGGTTTGGGCTTTTTTTAAGAAATTGCCTCTGATTACTTTGCATACTGTCTATTCAAAGGCTCGCATGCATTAGAAATGGTGCTCAAATTGCTGTCTGGATTTGCTGTGATAGCGAGCACTAAAGCTAATATTATAATTCATTACATACAAATAACGTAATAACAGTCCCATCTTCTCTCCTGATGACATATAATAAGATATGCATTATGAGTAATCATCTGTTTGTGTGTATTTATACTGTAAGACAAATCACTTGCACAAATACTAGCTAGAAATCCCCTTTTTCTGTTTGTAGGTGCTGCTCCAGGTATTATTTACTCACCTCTACAAAGGATCTGAGTCTGCTGAGTTGGTTATTTGATGTGAGCAGTACTGGTTTGTACTTTTAACGCCAGAGATATCTGTAGCCAAGATAGTGTTTTTTGGGTTTTCCATGACAAGGGTGTGCAGTTTTGCTAGATACAAATAAACCGTTCACGTAAATTATGTAACTAAAACCCAGGCTAGTTGTGCTCATTGTTCAGAGTGTGTGACTGATCTCCTAAACTGAATATTTTTTTTAACAAATGTATCCTTACCTGAATGATAGCCTGTAACAGGTTCATGCCCTACTTTAATCACACCTGTATCTTCCATTTCTTGAACCAAAACGAAGCCCATAACCTGTCCCACTCCTAGGAAGACAAAACACTCTCCTGATGCAGAAACATTTGGGTTTAAGCATTCCATTAAAAGAAGTGTATTGTCCAAGTTGTTCCAAAGTTAGATAGCAGATTAGATCATAAAAAACTATTACCATTGACATCCCTATCTGTCAAGTGGGGTCACTGCGGTATTGTGGTTTCTTAATAAACTTTTTTGCCTATATAAGGGCAACAAATCTGCAACATTTTTCCCTGAGCCATTTAGTGGCATGAAATCTCTTCTGGCTAAATGGATTTGTTGGTATTAAATGTTTTGCTCTTTCTGTGGGGTTTTTTTTCCTGATTTTTAGATTGTGAGGAATGGCAAATATACTGCTGACCACCCAAAAAGAGCACAAGCAAAACCAAACTGATCTGAAAAGTCTGAAACATCTCCCATGTTAAATCTTCTAGACTGTACCTAAGCAAGTACATTGTACTGTCATATAAATACAGCATAAGGGGTGATTGCTTCTACTATGTATCTCATAATGCATTATTTTTAAAGAAAACAGGAAGATAATAAGTCTTTGAAACGCACCTTTCCAACACTGCGTGCCCTGCAATGGATATGTACTTTGCATGACGCAAAGGAATCCTAGTCTTAGTTGAAGCATTTTGTTGCTGCTGAAACCTAAACAATAAAGAGGAACATGTTCATATGTGAGCTCGTGGTTGAGCACTGCTGAGCAAACCCAGCTCTCATTGCACCCTACTGAGCACCTGTTGTCAGTCTTCATGAACTTTTATTTTCTTGTTCCCACAGCAAAGTAGGGCTGGATTTCTTCTGTAAAAACAAAAAACCATCATAATTTCAAAAGAGCAAGATATCCAGGAACAAGTGCTGGCCAGGGTACAATCTGACTATTTATCCAAGGTTTCATTCCAAAGATGTGCAGAGTTACCTTGCTATTAAAATCTAGTAGACCATCACACTGTCACCAAATTATATCTGTATTACAAATTTTACTTCCTAGAGCTGACCTCAGCCCGGGAGGTGGCATTTTTGCACCATTTCCAAAAATGACAGTGAGGAATCCTTTGGCTGTCTTTGCCTTGACTTTCCTGGTCACTGCTAGCATAAGGGGTGTAATTGTGACAGGTTGCACTGCAGTAATTCCCACTTGATTCACCAGAAGTCCTAAGCAATAAATTACACCAGAGCCTGCACTATCTCTTTGCCATTCCATGGATTAAGGTAGCAAAGAAATATGTACTCTGGACCAGCAGGAGAGGCATTCTGGTGTGTTGGTGACAGAAAACAAAGATAAAAAAAAATTCTAGTCTGCAGTTCTGTGGTTGTACATGGGCATTAACTGTATACAGATGAAATCAAATAGGTTTTTCGCCAAGGAATGGTAGATTTCTTCAAGACTGTGGTCTCCAGCTCCTGTTAATAAGGATGTGTCTGCTGGTGGCTTTATTTTGATCTCCGTAGTTTACATTGGGTCAAGACAGTAGCATGTCCTGCTGCTGAAGTCTTGTCATATTTCTTGGGAATATTTTAGCTGTCATTATTTCTGTCATTTTTCACCCCCTCTTTTATTCACCAAGTTAAAAGCTTTCATTAAATCTCTGTCAGTAATTAGTGATGTCACAGATCCAGTAGTCGATTATGGATAGGCCCTGACTTCTAATACGTAGGGAATGGTGACAGGAGGAGGTGCAGGGCTACCGTTACAGATACAAATTTCAACCTCAGAAGATATCAGTGTTTCTTGGGTCTGTTTTCTTATCTGATATCCACCTTGTTTTTAAAGCTCACCAGTAATCTAGGAAGAAGTTCCCTGTGAATTTTTCACTTGTCCATTCTTGGCTTTGCCATGGCTCGAAATACCTTGACTTTTAAATTATTTTTCAGAGAGATCTCACAGAATGATGCCTTGGAGGTCATAGAAGCAAATGTGTTTTCCAACCTTCCCAAACTACATGAAATGTAAGTAATGAGCAATCTAAATTCAAAGGAGACAATTATAAAGATTCATTATAGGCAAGTATCAAAGTTTTTGCAGTGTAGTTCAGGTAAGCTCTGAAGAGTTCATAGCGATACAGGTACATTTGAAATCTCCCTTTGTCTTTTCCATCTTCTTATCTAACTGTACCTTTCTTTCTCTGGTCAGATGGAAACTTATTCTCAAACCTCTGCCAGTTTATAATAGACTGCTCTTTGAAATCATGCAGATCTTCTGCTATCAAAAAGAAAATGTGTTTAGTACCACTACACCATGAGACTACCACAAATATTTTAAGATCAACATATTGATATATTTCCTCTGATGTTTCGTTTTCTCTTTGCAGAAGAATTGAGAAGGCCAACAATCTCGTGTACATTGATCAAGATGCCTTCCAACACCTTCCGAGCCTCAGATATTTGTAAGATCTTCTGCTCTTTCCAAGTACTATGGTCATTTTGAATGATACAGACGTGTTTCTGTCCAACCCATGCTGGGCACTTTTGGTGATAAGACAGGAGAATGCCCTCTCCTTGCTGGTAGTTGCACATTGTCAATCTATATTTTCACCCCCTGGCCTGCACACAGTCCTCAGAAAAGCTGAACGTAATACCCTCCTTGGAGTAGTCCCACACACAAGATCATTGAGCCTTTCCATGCAATGTTGAAACTGAGTGATGAGAAATGGAGCTGGGCCTTTTTTATGTCTATAAAAACAGGTTTAGGTTGAAATTCCTCTCGAGAGCTTTGAGACAAAATCTCTCTCATCTATCTTTGCTACGGCTCTGCCTTCTGTTATACTTCATGCACATGGTCTTAAGCATTCAGATTCTCTCTTTTTTAGCAGTAGCAGTGCTATAGCAATGGTTTTCATTAACACTTGATGTGAGATGATTAAAACCCTAAAATCCAAACGTATTGATGTATGGTATAAATTTATTTCATTAGCCAGCCTCATCAAGAATGCCGTTTGCACAGCTGTGGTTGCCACATCTGTTCCCATGGGGTTGCCATCAAAATTCAGTGATAATTGAATCCATCCTTAATATAAACTGTTACCCAAAAATATTTTTACAGCTTTTAGTGCATGATCTTAACATGACTAATAATCTCTCCTCTGTATTAAAACCCCAATGCAGTCCAATGAACTCCATTTAACAGTAATTGTTTTTAATGACCGTAGCTTAAATAAGCCCCCACAGTGCTCTTTGCTGAACAACAGCATATACACCCAGCAGAATATTAACTTAATTTTTCTATGTCCATCCACCCCACCACATACACTCTGTCTTGTTTTCCTGACTTACACAAGAAGCCTTACTCATAGAAGCTTTTTTTTCCTTACTCATCCAAGAAACCTGATCACAATTTCTACATTTGAGTACATAACAGTAAGTGCTTAATTCTATGGTTAGGTATTTTGAGCTGTATCTGCTTTATCAAATTCACCAGGCACCTTGATAAACTTTAGCTTTTGTATGTGCATATCTGAAACAGATTTTCTCTTGACAGTAGAGAAATAAAGCTTTAAGTTTGCATTGTCATGAGAGGAAATCATATGCTTTTTTCCTTTCATTTCAAGCCTGAGTCATTCAGCAGTGACTGCTGTCTTTGAGTAATTCTGGCTGCCTATGAACAAAAACACAGCATTTGTTTATCACATGTAAAATCCCCAGAACAAGCTACTATGAGTACTACAGTTGTCAGATGTGCAGATGGGTAGAAAGAATGGCAGCACATTTATCTCATACAAAATTGAAGAAGAAGAAATGTGAACACACTAATGAACACACGAATTTCAGTAATTTTTTAAAATATGGGACACAGGAACTATAGGTCTTGAGAAACAGGTAAATCCTCACTTTAAATATCTAAAGTAGTGGAAATTTTTCTCTTGATGTTAGTGGATGATCCCCGTTTTGAACATTTGTCATTCCACGCTCCCATACATGTTGACTCAAATATTCAGAGATCCTACCTGTATAAAAATTCAGCTGCAGCAGCAATATTATGACCTATAGAAGGAACAGATTAAAAATATAGAGGATTGCTTGTCTATCTAACCACTCCTCACTCCTCTTTAGCTAGTTTTACTCACTAGCTAAAATCAGAGGAAAATATATTTGAGGCGTTTTTCTCTCTTGTGGGCATGCAGGACTGGAAGACTCTCCAGACTACTGTATCCCATTTCTTACTGGCTCCACTCCATTTATCCCATTAATTAAGGGCTTTATTGCCATTCTTGATGCTCTCCACTGTTCCCTGCTTTCTCTCTTTTTTTCCAGAGGAGGCTTTTCCAGAAACTCAATGATTTGGTGACTAGAATATTTCCTCTAATTTTATTCATGGCCACTTAATTCACATTCATGCTTGTGTCACAGCTTTTCTCTAATTTAAATTGATAAAATCCATCTTTGGTGTTTACTCCCCCAATGGATTTATGCTGCATCTCCTCTGTGTACTCCACCAATGGATTTATGCTGCATCTCCTCTGTGCCTTCATTTTAGGAGGCAAAAAAATGCCCCGCTTTCATGACTGTAAGTAGTAAAAAAGGTTCAGACTACATGGTTCTGAGCATCTCAACAGTTTAATGTGTCTTTCCTGTTAATTACAAGGTTTGAGGTAGCTCTGCTGGGGGTATAAACCAGTGCAACTCCTTTGGCTTCAGTGGAGCTATGTCAGTTCACACCACAGGGATCAGGACCAGGACCTGAAGACCCTGTAGAAGACTTACTCATATCACTGAGCTGGGTGTTATGCCAGGTTACACCATGCTCAAGTCACTCTCTCTGCGTACAGTATTACCTTTGTGCTTTCTCTTGGCACAGTTCTATCAGAAAGACTGTCATTTTCTCCATCCCCTTGTTTCACTCAATGATTCTTGCCTTTTTAGATACCCCGTCTTGAACAGGCAGAGAGTTGCAAGGCTTTGTCTGTGCTGCTTCAAAAATAGCTGTATAGCCACTAGGTCTTATTTATAGGCAGTCAAGAAGCTCTGGTTAGCCTTGTCAGTCCTCTCATCAGCTTCATGGGCTCGTTACAGCCACTAGTTGTTGAACATTAATGTGCTTTTATCTCCGTCAGCTTGGATACAAATACATCTCCCACTCACCCCATTCCATTTGTCTCCTGCATCATCATTACTAGTGTTGCAAAAATACTAAGGAGAGAAAAATGCCAAAAAAATGCAATGCTGAAATACTCTAAACCTTCTAGAAAAACGCAACCTTAACTTTCTCACCAGTTTCTTAGAAGCAGTGAAGAGAATTGTTAACTGGTCTTCTTGGATATATGCCAAAGAGACAGAGTGCTTCAAAATGGTAACTTACTGACCTTTTCATGGGTACAAGATTATTTATCTAGCTCATTAGGGAGAGCTGTGGCATTGTCTGTTTAATAATGTAGTGATGGCTTTTCAAACCTATTTTCTTTCCAAAATTAGTTCTCATGTGTAATCTCTGTCCTTTGGTTCTTTTTTTACAGTGGATGTGTCAGTGTCCTGTATTAAGCAATCTCAGCTTAAAATAGAAAAATTTAAATGTAACACTCCTTTCAGGTCAATTTTGAGGGCATTCAGCTGGATTGCTGGAGAGGAGGGGAAATTTAGGTTGCAAATGCATGCATTTTATTTGCAAAACAGTTCGCATTATGGAGAGCAGAGCCCAACTCCAAGGTCTTGCAGTTGTTTGTACCTGCCTGGTCTTATTTTGTGGAGGACCTGTCACACATGTACCTGGCATGCTTCCAAAACCCAAACCTGTGTTGGCTGCAGGTGCACTGAAGTCCACAGAATCACTGACCCTTTGTATGGAGTTGGCTCTTCAATAAAAGAAGTGATGCTCCTTTCCTTCTTTTGCATGGCAGCCTCATGGTTAAAGACCTTGCCCCAGAAGTGGGTGTTGTGGATGCTAGGCTTGGCTTAACCTGCAAGGCTGGGATTCATGAGTTAGAGGAATCTCTTGCTGGAGTAAGGCTCACATGAAGTATAAAGTAACCGGCATGATTAAGGGACACAAAAATAACACTTCCTGAATGATGTTGTATTTATCTCTGCCCGCTTTGGGTTTGCAATTTAGCAAATAACCACAATAAATTGATGAGGAAAATTGTGTTTCCAGTTTTGTCAGAGTAGCTCTTACTAATTTGGTGTAAAAAAGAGCAAGAATGTTTCTATATCTGGGGATAAGCAGCCAAAATCTTCCAGGAATTTTGTTCTGAAAGATTTTTTTTTTTTTTTCCTCCTTGATCATGGTGCTATGTTTTCTTAAGTGCTGACTGCAGTAAGCCTTTTCAGAAAGACAATTTAACGCTTTGGAAAGCAGCCATCAACTGTCTGAAAAACAGGTTCTTACTGAGCTGTTTATGCATGGTAAGGGGGAACTCAGTTATAGCACAGATTAAGGAGGACACTTGTTTAAAGTGAGGCTACTAAGAATGTATGCATTATATGGTAAATATATTGACAAAACTGTCCTGCAGGAAAGATATTCAGTAAATTGGATTATCTACATTCTAACAAGATTATCCACTTAAAGGTCTCTGGAGATTTACTGGTTGAATAAAAGAGAGGGAAGATCTAGGCTGCAGTCTAGCTAAATTTTTTTTTAGTTATTTTTCTGCAATTAATTACAAGAACATCCACTCCTGCTCCTAATCACTGTTCTGTGCCTCTGTGCAATCAGCACTTTGTGCTACCTGTAGATTTACTTCAATATGTAATGATTTGTCAAAGATTATTTCCTCTTCACCTCATGCTGCTCAGTTGACACCAGTACAGACTGAGTCCTGAACACTTTGGGTTACTGGAAGGATCAGGACTATGGCATCACGCAAGGAATTTGTTTCTTCATACATGTATGGTGAAGGTCCTGCTAACCATCATGGCATTTTGATATGTTGGGAGTAAATTGCGATTGGAAGCAGTTTGTTTCTTCATTTACCTATTAAGGCAAATGCATGCTGTAATTTGTGTTTAACATGTGACTCATAAAAAGAATTGCATGAATTTTTAGCATATGACTCATTTAAAGTTGGAGGCAGCTTTCAACTAAAACCATGTACATTTCCAGTAGTTTAGAGAGTGTACTTTATAATACTGCAAGGAGTTGCAAGTTCTTCTTCTATTGCTTCTAATTCTCCTTTCACAAGGTATAAGTGCAGAAGTACTTTAAATAATAAGGGCCTTGTGAAATCCACCTGCTTCATTAATCATGCTTTCTATTTATCTATACCTAACAGTTTTTCAAAGGCATTTTTGTAGAGCTTTCTTGGTCATATGTGACAGCTGTTATTTTTAAGCTAATGCAATGTCAGACCACTCTGACTCCCGAGATGAAGCAGTCATGACATTTCAGCAGCTTTCCTAAATTGACTTCTTGAATATTTACTGTACTTCTTTATTTTTTTTCCTGTATATAATATATCACTTTTTGATATAAGATGGGACAGATAACAAGTTGGCTTTTCAATGTGAATATCTGAGGATATCCAGGTACCACCTCAGAGAGCTCAGAGCAATATTTATGCAAGTAAATGACCTGTGTGTCACCCTATGTGCCCAAATATAGGATCTGGTTGTCATGTGTAGATGTTCAGTTTGTGAAACCTGAAAGGCTGCAACCCTCCTGAAACAATCTAGGTTCATAATAAACATTGAATGAATGCTGTTATTTCTTGTCAGTCTCAAAACAGTGCTTTTCCTCACCATTCAATTATTCAGGAATGAGTCTGGGGCGGGGGGGGAAATCCCATCCAGTAGTGAAAGAATATTTTTCTGTTTAAGTGCAAGGATAAAAAAATACCTTCCATATACTACTACTGTTTTTCTTAAGGAACTAACATTCTCAGTGAAAGGTTACTTTTTCTACCATCTCACATATTAAAAATGCAAAGAGATAACTGTCCTCTCAAGAACCCAATTTTTTGCTTTGTTTGGTAGAGTTAGCATGGTAATGAGGCATTTTGGTGGCTGGGAAAAACTCCCAGTTTGGTCCAGCTCCTCTTCCTTCCTGCACTCAGCACTCCTTACAGCCATCAACAGCCACCAACCATCTTCTGCTGCAAGGCACTATCATGCTTGTCCTGCCTTTGCTACTGCTCTGATTAACAAAATTTGCTTAAATTAGATGTATTACGGTTCTGTGGGTAGCTATGGCCCTGTTTCCTCACTAGCTTTGGGCACAGGGTTGTCCTTCAGATTCATCATTTCTGGGATGATGTTTCATAGACAGGAACTGCAACGCAGAGGCCAGTGATGCTTGATGTGGTGGGAGGATGGAGGTATTTAAATATGGAGGCTCAGGTCTATTTGTAGTCACACAGCTGCTGAAATGTTCCCATGTGTTTGTTTTCTCACTATTGGAGGTGCTGGGGAATAAAGTGTCCTAATTCTCTCTTATTTTCATGAAATGTTATTTCCAGTGGAATTAATGTATCTCCTATTAGAGAAGAAAGTTAAAATTGTGGTGAGTTCACACTTTTATCTTAAAAGAGCTACCATGAAAAGAATTATCCTGTATCAGTGCAGTTGATTTCTTAGAATACAGTTGGGAAATTAATATTGAGAGTTTGCTGAGATCATCAGGAGGGACCATGTAATTATCCAAGGTAGGTCCCTTGATTTCAGTGGGGCTCCTGCTTGGAAGAAAGCCCTTTTTACATTAAAACGTCAAGTTTCCCCTGGGCAAACACCCTGTATGTGGCTAAACTCTGCTTTTTGTGACTACCATTTTAAGTCCAATGCTCTTTCTTACTTGTTAACTATTGTTCTCTCCCCCTTAGGTTAATATCAAACACTGGCCTTCGGTTTTTACCTGCTGTCCATAGGATACACTCTTTTTTTTTCAGAAAGTTTTACTGTAAGTTTCAATGTCTTCTTTTTGCTTTTTAAAAACTACCTTTGAATGTTCTCCTGTTCCAACAAAACCTTTCAAGACATGATTCCCCTTGTGTTTGCTTATTAGCTTCACAGTAGCATTTTGGGTTGTAATTTTGAAGGCATTGATGACAATGTGGCCCCAAAAGTTCTCCATTCTCTCCAGGTCTCCTTTCAACAAAGCATTATAGTTTGCCTTTTACAGACTACTCTTTCTTTAACTATACTATGAGCATGTGCTTGGATGGCCCAGCGGATAGATAACAGCCTGTTACTCCTCTTTCACCTGTTGAAATCCAAACCAGGCTGGTGGCACTGAAAATTTGTTGCCATCTGGTGACAGTTTTCTGGCCTGCATGGGAAGAGTTCCTGATCTCAGAGCTGTTTTCCACGGAGAGGTGGCCACGTCACAAAGGAAAAAAAAAAAAAAAAAAGGAAAAACCACAGGGAAATATCTCTACCATACTCATTTTTTTTCACTGGCAGTAAAACTGTCCAGAGAATGAAATATGTTTTTCTGTGGCAAATTCCGATGCCAATAGGAATGTGGTGGTTTAACCACAGGTAAACCATGCAGTCCTGTGCTCACTCCTCCTACCCAGTGAGATGGGAAGGGAATCACAATAAAGGGGCACAGATCAGGATGGGGACTGGGACAGCTCACTCACCAGTTACGGTCATGGGCAAAGCAGACTCAACTTGGGGAAGAAAAATCAATTTAATTCATTACCATCCATCTGAGTAGCACAGTGAGACGTAACAACCACATCTTACAACACCTTCCCCACCCCTCCCTTCTTCCAAGGCTCAAATCACTTTGCTCCAAATTTCTCTACCTTCTCACCCCTGAGTGTCACAGGGGACAGGGAATAGGGGCTGCAGTCAGTTCACCATTGCTACTCTTCCTGGCACGAAGGTCCAGGAACAAGATGTTCCAGAGCAAGCTTCCCATGGAGTCACAGACCTCTTTGGGCTCAGCTCCCAGCTCCCAGCTCCCAGCTTGGGGACATCCACGGGCTGCAGACAGGCCTCTGATCCAGTGCACCTCCCTGGGGTCTCAATTTCAGTCACACCTGCCCTCAGACTCAGCTTTTCTGCTCCAGTGTGGAGTCCTCCATGGTCTACACTTGGGTATCTGCTCTGCCGTTGAACTTCCATGGGCTGCAGGGACCTCGTTTGCCTTCTCCTTCCTCATTCAGTTGAACTGGGTATCTGAGGTTTTCTGTCCTCCCCCTCTTCCTCCTGACAATGAAGCTCTCTCTTTGTTAAGGCCGATGGTCATCTTTTGTTCAGATCATGGCCTCTCCTCTAGGTTCTCTCCACCTTATTTTTTTCAAGACAGTCCTTCCCCTCACAAATATGGATTCGCAGTTTCTCTATTGCTAATTGGCTCAGCCTGGGCTGCAGGGGGTTGGAGCCAGGGGAGCTTTTGGGAAGCTTCCCCTCCCCCCACTGACAAAAACAGCCACACACACACACAAACCCAACACAAGGGGGGAAAAAAAAAATCTGTAAAATTTGATTAAAAAGTAGGCACTTTTTTTCATTCTGTAAAAGATCCCTTTTTTCTTTAAAAAATGCCTGTCAGCAAAAGCTTGGGGTTTTTTCACTGGAAAAGATCTTTACATCAATTTTTCAATCAGTTCTTAAGATAACTGGAAGCAGAAAACCCAGGAAATAAGCAACTATTTCTTCTCTTCCTTTGGACAAGCTATATTAATGCACAGGCAAAATTCTGCCTGTGTAAATCTCTAATTAGAAGATTTCCAGCTGTAGAAACATTAATCCTGTAATTGTCTTAGTAATGACCATTAATAAAAATAAAAATTCAAAGAAAACAGAGAAGGATGCCTGAATATAGTATACACACATATAACATGAGAAATAAATTTCTGTAATACGCTTGACATACACAGTTTTGAGAACTGCACTTCAGGGCTCCCTGAAACCATCAAGCAAACGCAAAGGTACAGAGCTACAGAGCCTTGCTCCTGTATACCTTTATGTTTATCATCAGTCTTAACTAGATTTGAATTAGTGTGTCCTGCTGAGCAAGACGGGAATATTTTCAGGTGAAATTCCTCACTTTCCTGTAAGAATAACTAGGCCTTGATACTGTTTAAGTCCCAAACTAGACCTTGTTTCAAACCCTGGCCCCACTGAGGTCAATAAGAAAATTCCTGTTGGCTTCAATTGTGCCAATATTTAAGTCCAAAAGATAGGTCTTCATGGGTCATTGGTGTTTATAAAGGTCTTGTACAGATCCTTAGCAGAGGGATACACTTCACTTGTACGGGTGCTGTGCTCCCTGCTTATTCCTACCTCTGCTGACCTCAGTTTGCAGAATAAGACCTCTGCGTAAGTGTCACTTAATGCAGAGTTCTGGCTATATTCAGCTGTCAGCATGAGATAATTTTGGAACCACGCTTGATTTCCAGCTTTGCAGATAATTCATTTCATTCTGTGCTTTCCAACAGAAACAGCATGAAAACAACCATATCCCCAGTCTAAATTATGAGTAATACTGTTTTACTTATTTGAGGTCTATTTTGAGCAAGCAACAGAATGTATATTTGTCGTTCCTTTTCTTGTATCAGTCAAAACTGCTGAAAGACTGAAATGGCTCCTTGTCATTTCAACAAACTACATTGACAGGGGTCCTGTGTCTTAAGTTCTTAAGCACATACAAAGCTTATAAGCAACCCAATTAACATCAGCAGGGGAATTATTCTTGGGCTGGTAGGTACCCTGCTGAATCAGGCCAAAAAGGCTAATGACTGCAAGAAGGGATAGCCTCAAAGCCCCTCAGCTTGCATTTTCTCGGTAGTATGTTTTCAGGAGGAACCTTCATCTGCCTCAGGGTTATAAGACCCAAGCTTTTATACATTTTAATCGATTCAGCCTATTTGGGAGGAAAATATGGGGGTGCTGGAAAAGTTTTGTTCCAGCCTTTTTTCCAGGAAGGTTTGTGCTCTGCAGACAAAATATCTTTAAAACTTAAGTCATCATTCTCTGCCTATAATCATTCCTCAGGTTGACTATTAGGAAAAATACTATGTTTGAAATAGCATATCATAGAATCATAGAATGGTTTGGGTTGGAAGGGACCTTAAAGATCATCTAGTTCCAACCTCCCTGCCATCAGCAGGGACACCTTCCACTAAACCAGATTGCTCAAAGCCTCATCCAGCCTGGCCTTAAACACGTCCAGGGAGTGGGCATCCACAGCTTCTCTGGGCAACCTGTGCCAGTGTCTCACCACCATGAGGTATTTCTTCCTAATATCTAATCTAAATCCACCCTTGTCCAGTTTAAAGCCATTACTCCTTGTTCTATCACTACCTGCCCTTGTAAAAAGTTCTCCTCAACCTTCCTGTAGGTCCCCTTCAAGTACTGGAAGGTCACTATAACATCCCCCTGGAGCCTTCTCTTCTCCAGGCTAAACAGCCCCAGCTCTCTCTGCCTGTCCTCATAGGAGAGGTGCTCCAGCCATTGGATCATCCTCACAGCCCTCCTCTGGACTTGCTCCAGGAGGTCCACATCCTGTTTGTGTTGGGGCTCCAGAACTGGACACAGTACTCTAGGTGAGGTCTCACAAGAGCAGAGTAGAGGGGCAGAATCACCTCCTTTGAGCTGCTGGTCACACTTTTCTTGATGCAGTCCAGGATAACATTTGCCTTCTGGGCTATGAGTGTGCCCACACTTTGTTTCTCATCCACCAGTACCCCCAAGTCCTTCTTCTCAGGGCTGCTCACAATCCATTCCCTGCTCATCCTGTATTTGTGTTTGGGGTTGCCCCAGCCCAGGTGTGGGACCTTGCGTTTGGCCTTGTTGAATTTCATGAGGTTTGCACAGGCCCACCTCTCAAGCCTGTCAAGGTCCCTCTGGATGGCATCCCTTCCATCCAGCATGTTGACTGAACCACACAGCTTGGTGTCACCGGCAAACTTGCTGAGGGTGCACTCAACCCCACTGTCCATGTCGTCGACAATGTTAAACAGTGCCAGTCCCAATACTGACCCCTGAGGGATGCCACTTGTCACTGATCTCCACTTGGACATTGAACTGTTGACCGTAACTCTTAGAGTTGACCATCCAGCCAATATCATATTGAAAGGCTCACAGAGGTACAAAAAGGTATAATTTCTGTTGTATTTTATTTTTCAGAGATATTCAAGACAATATCAACATACGTACCATTGAAAGAAATTCATTCACAGGCCTGAGTTCTGAAAGTGTGATTCTGTGAGTAAGGCATAGCAAATCCATTATTCTCCTTGTTAGGTCATTTTCTTCTCCAGAATAAGGTCAAGGAAACCAGCGGATGGGCACTGTTTTATACGCTTCCAAATTCAGTTTGAGGTTTTAGGCTTCTCCCCTATTTCTAATATCTCTGTATTCTGTTTTCCTGCCATGAAAAATTAATGCTTTTGTGGATTTTTTGTTGTAGTCTAATCCTGCTCTTTATTTCAGAAGCACAGTATAGAGCAAATTTAGTAATTACCGATGCCAAGGTTAAACATATTCCACCTACAACAACAGTTCCATTCGATACAAATTGTGTTCAAAAGGATGGCATGACTCATAAATATTTACAGTCAGGAACATCATTCAAAGACATTTATTGCTCGGGCAAAATATATGGAGATGATGTGGAAATGCAGTATATTTGTACACAGTGTTAATACATTGGTACAGGTCGGTTCACAATGCAGTTTCAAGCTGCATGGTTAGATGACTCTACATTCCACTTGAACAGTCATGTTTTTTAATGAACTATCTGGCTTCTTTGATCCTTTCTATTGGTATATCAAAATGTACTGTTTTCTTGCTAACAAGCTGCCTTCATTTCACCTAGCTAGTGGCCAGACTGGAAAAATTTCCCACTGTGTGTGTGCAGTTTACTTTGCATACCGAAACAGACAAGCAAGATCTGATTGACTGATTGGGCTGACGTTGATTTTGGTGGGAGCAAGGTCAGACCATCAATATTTAAAGAGAGTCCAGTAACAAGTCACTTAGCTATTATCTCTCCTTTTTCCCCCATCAGTTATGTACAACCTCTGTCTATGTCAAGTTCCCTGAAGTTTTAAACACAAGTACAGTCTTGTCAAATATGTATTCAAGGCATGATACTTTAATTGTACTGATTTATCTTTTCTCCTGTGATGATAATATTTGCTGCTCAGGATGTCCAAGCTCTGGATCTCTGCCTCCATTTTCAGTAAGGGTGTTGGTTGAAGTGAGGGGAGAATTTGTCTTAATAGAAACTTGTCTCTATAAGGTATAATGAAGTCTTGGGATTTAGGTAAAATTTTATTTGCTCTTTTTACTACTTGAATGTGATTAACCAGGTGACAAGAGTGTATAGTCCACCCTGTATGGCAACAGTGACACTAAATTTATGACCTTTGTATCTCATTGCATTAGTATCATGTTCAGTGAGAGAACACAGTAAAGTGCTAATACTGTGATTAAATGCATATATATCAGCCTGGCAGCTATGAATGGATAAGATCAATGTGATATAATAAATGTTTTAAATGCTATAAGCAGGGACATGTCTCTCCTCTGTGCCTGCTCACTCATGTCTAATAGTGCTTGCAAGTGAAGGGGACGGTGACAGTTCTCCTGATCTGACCTGACAGACATTACAGACACAAAGCTATGTACATCTGCCTGTCATGGTCAAAAGGGTAATCCTTTCAGCCAGACCCATAACTGATTTTCACACTGACCTTAGCTCACCACCTCAGACCTTAGACAAGAGAGTCTCTTGCATGCTCAGCTTTCAGTGTGAATTAGAAACAAAACATCCAGGTTTGCTAACAGTTTAATTAAATCATGCAATTTTTGCCATCAATCAGACCTGTCATTGCCTGTTGGAGAGGGTGTAAGTTGTGAAGTGACGAAGCGAGATGAAAGATTGCATCGTAAAGATGATAAATATAACTGACCCAAATGCAAATTTTTAGGACTGTGAAGGGAAGAGAGAGAAGGATGTTAAACATTAATTAGTTAATGCACTATGGTAAAAACTTGGCAGAAAGCCCCAGGAGCTTCGATTCCCAGGTTCACCACCTGTTCCTTCTCTCAGGGGATGGAGCCTGGGGAGGTGGGACTGGGGCAATGGAGCAGACAGGGAGCATGGCTTGTCAAGACAGCAGACATGGGAGGAATCAGACACTTCCTGAACAGTTTGGCACCACTGCCACCTCCCTTCCTGCCCAGTGCGGTGATGGTGAGCCTCCTCCTCCACCTGCCCTGCTGAGGATGTGAAACCACCACAAACAGTGCTCTTTTTTTCCAGTAACTGGCAAAAGTTTAAGCCATGGCCCAGTGTTTCAAAGCATCTTGAAAAAAGTAAAACTAAATGGCACCGACAGCACCAGCAGGAAAGATCCCGGTCTCACTCCTCCTGGGATTAACCTGGAACAGCCTCACTGACGCCACTGCAGCCTTCCCAGGGGAGCTGTGAGCAGCACCAGCATCTTCATCAGCTCTGCCCTTGCTTCAGAAACTTACTCTAGCTGTCATCTCTGATGGTAGTGCTCATCTGCCCTATTCACGTCTGTACTCTCCAAAGCCTTCCTCCAACAACTGTGACCTTACCAGCTGGTATTCATAGAAATTTTACCATTTGAATAGCTATTTAATATTTGTATTTGGTTGAGATCTCTTTCACTGATTTGAATTACGTACATTTTAGTTATGAAGCATGAATAAGAACACGCCATTTTTTTTTTTTCTCTATTGCAGATGGCTTAATAAAAATGGGATCCGAGAAATTGAAAATCATGCGTTTAATGGAACCTACCTGGACGAGCTGTAACTATTTCTGTCATTTACTATTCTGAAAAGCAAATATTAGAAGGTATAAACTGCTGCAAGCTATTTTTTTTTTAATCTCAGATTATTTTAGCATTAATATTGTTGTGTTTTTCAGAAATCTAAGTGATAATCACAATCTAGAAAAATTACCAAACGACGTCTTCCAAGGAGCCAATGGGCCTGTTGTTTTGTAAGTAATATTCAGATATTATTTTTCTCATTATTAACTCCCTAGAAAAGAACAGAGAAGAACATGCGAATGCCAGTCTAGATTCCAATATCTCACAAATATTGGAGTTCAAAACTGGAGAGGTAGTTCTAAATATAAAAAAACTTGGAAGCTGTATCTGAAATTTCAGTCTACATTCATGTTTTCACTTTATCCTCAAGTTTTTGGGGAGTATTTAGATCCAGGTATTTAGATCCAGATTCCTCTACACAGTTGATTAAGCTCTGTAAGAGAGTAGTTCTGCTTAATATTTTTTAGAGAAAAATGCTGTTAGATTTTTGTTTGAGGAAAATCAAGAATAGGTGAGTGGGTCCTTGGTGCTTAAATCTGAATTCCTTACCACTGAGGATCTGCCCCTGCATCTCTGGAGCTTAATTCTAAAGATTAACCCCCTACCCTACAGGGATAGAGACTGGGATATCCCATCCCCTGTAGGAGTAAGTGTGAGATATATCACGCAGTTACAACAGGATGTCTTTGTTGGGTAACAACATGAAAGCAAGACCTCAGCAGTAGAGAATTCAGCAGTAGGGTGCTCATGGATCTCAGTCACCATTACCTCCAGCCACCATGAGGTCTGAAAATGCCTCTGAGTGTGCACAACTGCACATAAGAGGTGCAACAGAGACATGGGAGTCATTCTTTACAGTCCAGAGAGGGCTAGGAGTCACCCAGAAAGGGTGAAAATGTATCATTGGAGCTGTTGGAAGATTTTATACGGAGGTTAGAGTTGATGGAAATCTTAAAAAGAGAAAGAAAAATGACTAGTTAACCTTGAGTTCAGATCAGAGCTCCTCTGAAGGCCTTTTTTCCACATTGTGATGGTCCGTGCACCTATGGTATGAAGAGCTATTGTATGGGTTACTGCATTCTTCTCCACTTCTATCACTCTCTCAAAGTGTCTTCCTTCTTTGGAAAAGACTGCTAGTGGAACATCTTTTCAGCGGTAGTATCATTGATGTTTCTTTGGAAAAGCATGGTTTCCTGCAGCAAAAGTAAATGCATTTTCTTTGCAAGCTGTAGCTGATACAGTCACATTCTGGAGGTTTATCAAATTGATTTGTCTGTATTTCAGATTCATTTGATAGTTCAATTTCTAACACTGAATTATTTGTGTAAGAATTTTTCTCTTCCATTACCAATACATCCACTATTCTATGGATGGGAAATTACCTTTTTATCCTGTCTGAGGTCATGAAAGAAGAGCCTCCTTACTCATCCGTTACTGTAGTGTACACCAGGAATGTGCTTTCACTTGTGGAAATGATTGACCCATAATCATATCTTTGCTGGGACAAATAGTGTTGCTGCAATAAAATCTGTGTTGCAGACTGCAGTGTTTATTAGAATGAGTGTCAGGATGTTTTAACTCTTGATCTTCCCGAACCAGTGTCCTGCAGTTAATTAAAATCAACTTCTGTTTTATAATTCAACGTATTAAAATAAAGTGAAAGAAACACAGAGTAAAGTCAGAAAGCACCAATCTTAGCCCTTGTACAGGCTACACAGTTTCACAAATCAATTTCTCTCTCAGGACTACAGCTCTTCGCTGAATTAGAATCTCTTTTTTAGAAAGACATAAAGTTTTAAGTTGAAGGATTTCAGCACTGACAGTAGACAAGCAGATCAAATGGCTAATTACTCCCACACCTATATGCATTCCTTCTATACAGAAACACACTGTATTTCCAACTTGGAGTTTCATAGCTTTGATTTTCAGCCATATTGTTTCATTTAATCATCTTCCAGTGCTCTCAGAGCTGCAATGGCTTACACCAACTTTTACTGAAGTCCTTAGGAGTTCTCTGGCTGCGTCCTGACTTAGATGCAGGGCAAGGTCTGGCCATGGTCCATGCTATCCTTGCAATTTGTCTTCAAGGGGAAGCCCATGTACAGGGGCCACAGGAGAGCTCCAGGAGATCCCCAGCTCAACAGCTGAGTCCCTGAAGCACAGGCAGAGATCAGTTTAGATACAAGCACAGAGAAAATTGTTCTCACCCATCAGTCTACACCTCTCTGATTTCTGCTCCTCCAGCCATTTCTTGCTATTTCTGTATGTGTGTTTCAAACCTCATCAGTTGGTCAGTGGTTTTGCTAACCAAACAGAGACTCCCAGTGGGAAAGGAAAATGACTGGAAGAGAAGTCAGATTCATTTTGTTGTTCCTGCACTGGCTGCTGTCGAGGCTGATGACTAGCAGCCAAGCAATAATAGAACAAGAACATGTATTCCAGTCACCAATGATTTCTGATTTGATTTCCTACTGCCACTTTATCATCCTGTTCATCATGCTTATTTAATTTATCAAGCCTCTAAATAGAGAGGAACGTCCCTTTGCACTGAGGTCTGTTTGTGACAACTCAGTGGAGTAAGTTACTAAACCCACCTGTACAATGTCTGTGTCTGCTGTTCAGGGGCTTGTCAGTGGTGAATCGATAACTATCCCTAATAGACGTACCAATAAACCCTTGTTGTTATACTTTCCCTAACTTGCTTCTGTTTCTGTGCAATAATGAGCATAAAAAGAAGGATCTTTAAAAGAAGAAAATATTTTCATGGAAAAATATTTAATATTTATTAAATTATCTAGAGATGCCCAGAGACCCAGTTACATTTTAGCTGTTTTTAAGTCTAGGTGATATTCCTATTCATATTTACTTGTTATCTTCACCCAGTATAATAGCATTTTTTAGCTAACAAGCCAAAGAAAACATTTTCCATGCTCTTGTTCAGAATTATGATCCCTTGTGAAGTTTCATAGGCTCTTAATGATGCCACGAGGATGCTGTCTGTGGATTTAGGCAGAAAACTGCTGTTTAGTTGTTGAGTCATGAGCATATACTCCAGGTGACAGTTTTCATTAGGCAGCATATTAAGGGCAACAGTCAGTGCATGGAACAATTGAGACTGCTCGTTGCAACTTAATTACCTCTTCAGGTGTCTAAGTCAGAAATCGATAGCCTAAAATTTCTCTTCAGCTCCTGCAAGAAACAGGTCATGCCCAGAACAACCTCAGGACCACAGTGTAGCTTCTTTCCGCCCAACATGCTGAAATTCAAAGTATTTCTGAATCCACGGATCCGTCTCGCCCTTCCAGTAGAACTTATGACCCCAGGTTAGGGTAGAGGAGTTGGGTCTGTGTTCGTTCCTCTGCTGCCACAGTTCATGGTCTAGTTGTTGAAGGTGGTACATTCCTTCAGAGCCTGGATGCAAAACCTCCAGCTGTAGGCACAGCATGGACACAAAAATAATCTTTAACCATCACCAGTAACTGTTTTATTATCTGTCTATGAGTTTGATAGATTTGTCACCCTAAGCTAAAGACCATGAGTTCAAACAGAGCCACATCCTTGTATGAATTTTGTTCTTAGAACAGAGAAGCAAATGTGTGTACAGTACATAGCAACTGTCTGAAGTTTATTACGTGCTGTTAAAACTTGGTCTCCCCCTCACGTGGCACCACTCTACTGTATTAATAAGACAATAAAAACAATTTGTGCATGTTGGGTAATAGAGATCAAATAACACATTGTCCTGACATCGTACTGTTATGGAAACTGTACCTTGGAGGGGGCATGGAGGAAATTACAAATATTGTCAGTCCAATTCCTTGATTAGGGAAAACTATTTTTCTTTTCTCAGAAAATAAAGAGTAGAGCAACCTTAGCAAGTGCTGCATCCTGGATCAGCCTCAGACCATAAGCCCACTTTGCAGAGGGCTAAGGGTGGACAGCATGATTTTGCATAATCCATTTTACTGTTGCTCTAAGAGAAAGAAGCGTGCTTTCCTGCTGGCACAAGCTGAGGGACACAGTTTTTGCCCTAGCGAGGGAAAAGTGGGGACATTTTGCCCCAGCTGTTACATTCTGGATCCATGGGGACAGGTTCCTGAGTACCTCTCAGTCTGGCGATGGACCACCCTTGGTCCTTCTTTCCTTTCCCCACCTGTGTGGCACAAGTCAAGATTTAGTGTGTGCACAATGTTTTTCCTTCTAAAGGCCTCGCTCATGCTCTCTACACTACATTCATAGCTGCTGATTCTGTCACTGCCTTTAATAGCTTGTCCCACACAGTAATTGCCTTCCACATAAATACATCTCTCCTAACCTCCTGTAATCTTACCCCTTTCTTCACTTCAGTCTGTGTTCTCTTTGTTTTTTAAACCTCTAGAAATGTTTTGTTATTTTTGTTCCTTACAGTTTGAACCATGTCACCCCTGTATCTCTTTAATCTCTTTTTCTTCCTAATGAGTAAAAAACCTGATATTCCCAACCTCTCTCCACATCTGTACCTGCCTGTGAGCTTCTCTCTTTGTATTTATTGCCTTTTCCACAACAGCCTTCCCATGATGTGATATTCATGTAACAAACTTCTTTTGTTATTTCATCAGCCTATTTTATCCCGTAACAGTATTCTGGGGTGCTTGATGCATTTACCAGGTGTTTACTAAACCCAGAATCATATGGCACTAATGGTTTATGTTCCTGATAATTCTTACTCAGAGCAGTTTGAGATTTTTTTTTTCTTTTTTTTTCTCAAACCAGGCTAATATCACTTGATTTTTGTTTGCAATATTAGTTCAGCTTTCTGGGAGGAACACCCAATTTATCCCTGGATCCTGTTTTTAGCATGGATTTCCATCTGGTCTCTTTCCAGTCACTACTCTGAGAATGAGTAGGACAGTCTAAAACACATACCCACTGTTGAGCAGAGGTAAATTTGCTTTTTACCAGGATTTTCATATGTTTTCTTGAAGGGATATTTCAAGGACAAGAATCAGTTTCCTGCCAAGTCATGGATTAGAACTCATTAAGAAGCTAAGAGCAAGGTCTACATACAATTTAAAAAAGCTTCCTGATTTAAGCAAATTTAGATCTTTGATTGAGGCAAACTTCACCTATCCTAGCCATTGCTGTGCATTTACAAACTGGAAAAGACAGAAGTAAGTGATTTCATTTGTTTTTCTTTTTGGTGCTTCTCAGCAGTTGATAGTGAATTAAATAAACTGCCTCAAAGTCTGGATAGAAAAGGTCTCTTCAGTTCAGGTAAGTAAATTGATAGAAATAAATAAATATACAATATGCATGCTACACAGTGCACTGCCTCTCCGTTACAGGGGAGTAATAAACTTTAATAGCTGTGTTAGCATCAGCATTTTCCGCAGCTGTGGCTCTAGTCCTCGCCTGTCACAGGTCCATCTTTCACTAGGACCTGCTCTCCTGGATCAGCCTGGACCCACACTGAGGACATTCAACAGGGAAAATTTTATAACTCTTCAGGAGGTAGCTGGAGGGAAAGCTGTATTTGCAGAGAAGCTGGTAATACTTGGCCATCAATTCAGGAGGGGAACAGGACCACTGAGTGACCTTAAACTCTTCTCTCAGAAAGCCACACTGATGTTGGAACACTGTCCAACAAAGTGCCACAGATATGTTATCTGTCAAGTCTACATACACAACATGTTTGGACATGATTTCTGAAATGGTTCACCTAGAGCAGACCTCTTACACCCAAATCAACAGAGTGGGGTGGGAGGGCAGGGCATCTTTTATAGACTCCCAAAGTAAATTTTTATGCTTTTTTAAATTTTCCATTAGCAAGTTGTAGTGACACTTCAGGTATCAGTGGTTCTCATTGAGTATTTTTGGCTAGTCAGATAGACTTTAAATATACACTTTAATGAGCTAATGAACTTCCTGCACTTGTGCCACTGGAAAACATGAGGAGCTGGTACCTGAAGAAACCTCTGTTATTGTTCAAAGTTCTTCCTTTACTGGATGTCCTCAAAGACTTGGAATATGCCATGGCAAAAAAAAAGATGTGGTTCATTGTTACAATTCAAGACATTGTCTTCAGAAGTTGCCTAAAACCTCAAAGAAAAGTAAAACCATGCAGAGAAAGCATAAAGTATTAGTAGCTTCTATTTTCATACTTATAATAGCCATTTATTTACTTTTAACATTGTATTGTTACCAGGTAGTGAAAGATAACTGGCCTTGCTTGTGCTCATAGCTAATAAATATCACTTACGTGTGTTTGCAAAACCACCAGTGAAAGAGTGCAAGTCTGATGGTGGAGACTGCAGTGATAATGGAAGTATCTGACAGAATACATCCCCTATTGCCATATTTGATCCAAAATGCTAAACTTTTTGCTAGGACAGTTTATCAGCAGGAGCCATTTTCACATACTTCTGCAGGCTTATGCAGGCACAGTGCTTGGTAGCTTGCTAAGTAGAAACGTCTTTCTAGCACTGGTGGCAAAGTGAAATTTACCGGAGTCCAATGGAATCTGTGAAGGGATCTTGATATCACTATGATTCATATTTTTGAAGGTTCTTGGTTTCTGGGCTGCTTGTGCCAAATCAGTACCCTAATCCCAGAATCAACTCCTTAAATTAGGCAACTGGACTTTTCAAAAACAGAGTAATAGTTACTATTGAAGGAAAAGTACAGGAGGAAATGATCCTAACATTTTGGTAAGCTCTCAGTGTCTAGTCCCCTCATTTGGGCTTCAAATAATTTCTGTGTGAAAGGGTTGTCAAGCATTGGAACAGGCTGCCCAGGGAAGTGGTTGAGTCACCATCCCTGGAGGTATTTAAAAGACTTGTAGCTGTGGTGCTTAGATGTGGTCCCTAGACATGGTTTAGTGGGGGACTTGGCAGTATTAGGTTTATGGTTGGACCCCATGATCTTAAAGGTCTTTTCCAACCTATATGATTCAGTGATTCTATGTCACGCTTGCCCCAGGGGATTGAAGCCCACAGCACTCACTTCCCACTTCATACAGCCCCATTTTTAGAAGCTTCTGCCCTGGTAGGTAAGAAGCCAAGGAGGACACTGATAACCTTTCCCACAGGCTGGGCAAGTGCCATTTTGCAAATAAATGCCAATGAACTGTGCAGAACTCACATAACCCAAGTACGGATGGACAACGAGCTGGGCTGGAGCACCACGCAGTGGTGAGGCTGCTTCTGGAGCAAGTCCGGTCACGACTTCATGGTCCCCTATAGTATCAGGTGTAATGCAATGGTAAGAAATAGTATACAAGTTGGAGATGCTCTTCTTTATATGATATATGGTTACTTGAATAAATGTGCATGTGAACAGTATGACTTTGGTCAACGAAACAAAGTTGATTGTATTTATATGTCCTTAATAGTTACCAGATGTATCCTTTAAAAAATATTAAGCGTAAATGCAAAATTATCAGAACCCATTATTTAGATCAACCCTTCCTGTTAACTGCTTTAAATCATAATTAAAAATGATGATTTCTTTCACACAGTCATGTGTCTTGTACTGAAATTGGCGGGAGACTGATTCCCTCTTTCCACCTGAAGAAGAGAGAATGGATGCATTTTAGTTCAGTTTGAATACCGAAGGAATTACCATACACTTCAGCAGAGATTAGTCACACATACAGTAGCTACACCTGCTTTCATTTCAAAGCAGTTTTCTTGATAGCTGGCACAAGCTGTGTGTGCACTGAGGACTGCTTGGGTTGTTTAAGGGTTATTAATAGTTTGCAGTGCTTGATCACACAACGTGTTTTGTCTCCCTGGCAAGAGCTGTGCTTGATTCAATGCAGCAGTCACTGCTTGTGGTGGTGAGAACCGTGATATGACCTGACTTGCCATGCAGCTTCACAGGAGACGGTCATTCTCCCATGGCCATTTGGGTCTCAGAATACTTCCAGGTAGTCCTGGGAAGATAAGAAGGATGCCTCGTCATCCCCAGAAGTGCATTTCTAAGGATCACAACAGTAGTTGGTGTTTACATGGGAAATCTGGGAAGGAATTAAGACAGGGATGTGTAACCCCTTTCTGGCTGCTCCATTTACCTAAGATTTCCCTTCTTTGAGACTTTTGCAGTACTCAAGACCCCTAGATAAAATAAGTTGCCATAGTGGATCATGCTCAATCCCCTCTCCTGAATCCGTCTGCACCAGCAAACAAGTTCTGTATGACAACAGAAAGCTTAAAACTGTTACAAGGGCAGTGCTTTCAATATTTTGGAGGATATCACATCACGCAGAGCTCTGCCAGACTGAGACACAAATTAAAACATAGACCATTTTGATATTTTTTTCCCCATTCCAAGAAGGATTATATGATAAATATTGATCTGTAGATTTATGACATTAGAATATTGTGATGCTGGCCTAACAGAAGGTAAACTTCTTTTTAGGGTAAGCCCAGTGCAGTATGTTGAGCTCCCCTCACATTTTTCTGTGACTGGAAAATAATATCCTTGATGGGTGGATAGGGCAGAGGCTGGATGTTAAAATCCTCCACTTGACATACATCATTATGAACTTCAGCAAGCTTTTGGCTTTCTTTGACATCAAGATCACCTTCTGCCTAAAAGAATGACATTGATATGACTCTGTCCTTACACTTGATCATTATTCTTTGAAGGAGCTGTCACTTGAAATCCTATTTTTTTAAAAAAACTTGGCATCATCAGGAGTCGTGTTTGGGCCTCGTCTCATGAGAACATAGCATCAGTTACTCACAACTCACTTGATGTCACTTTGCAGTGAGGATGATCGGTCTAGATGGGGCTTGATACAGAACTTAGGTCAGGACTATTTATTCTGAACATGTTCCTTTGCACAAAAGATCCTGCTGCCACTGGACCCATATGGAGCGCACAAAATAACTCCTTGTACAAAGGCAGTAATTTTTGTTAGAGCACTCTGACAATTTTAGTGTTGTTGAGTTGTCCTTTCTCTAGTTTGTTTTTCAGAGGGTTTACCTGAGCAAAGCAATGTTAAACAGTCACAGAGAGTTACAAATAGACTGAAAAAATTAACTGTGTTACAATACCTACCATCTCAAAAGGAAGCAAGCATCCCTTGCCTAAAATTGTTTTAGCTTGTTGCTTTTGATGCACTGTGCAGCAGTAAGGACAAATATCCCAGGGCAAAGAACTGGTAAGTAGTCAGTACCAGAGGATGGCTCTTCTTTCGTTTGGGAGTTTGCAACTGCCCATCTTACCTGCTCGTGGTACAGGTAAGCAGTCAGGAGATTCCTCAACACCCATCCTCGGAGCAAACTGAGTACCTTACTCCGAGGGAACCTGATTTTATTTGGGACTGATGGTCGTAATATAATTCAAGAATGAATAAATTGTAATAATCAGAAATATTTAATTGGCCTTGTATAACAGTCTTATCAGGGGACAGATTTAGCTCCAGTCAGTGCATCCATAATTTAGGAAAAGGTTTATTTTTAACTCATAGCTGAGAAATGACTGGATAAAAACATTTTGCTCAGTTCATTTATGAAGAATCATCAATTGTAGTAGCTTTCCCTCAGTTCATTTATGAAGAATCACCAATTGCTGTGGCTTTCAGTGCCCTCAAGTGCCTGTAGCACTCAAAACCTAGGGACTTTCTCTCCTTTTATTGCTCCTTGGAAGCATATATTCCCTTTCAGCTAGAGAACTGTTGATATATTGATCAATACATGGGACCCCTCACTCATCCTTATGTGAGCAGAACACAAGGGAACAAAACGTAATGCCTTGTTATTGCTATTGTGACCTCCATAGTGCATATTTGACCTCACAGAAAATCAGTTTTCTGCCTCAGTTGACAGGTAAGATAAAAAATATTGATAATAGTAGAGGATGCTCAGAACCTCATAGGAAACGTTCCTCACCTTCTGGTGCTGGGCCTTCATTAGTTTTCCTTTCTTGCAGACCTTTTAAACTCGATTTTTGGAAGATGCAGTGAGTGCACAAAGTCAAAGGGTAAAATCAGGTTACAAAAAAAAAAAAAAAAAAATTACCTTTTAAGCTGCTACCAATTATTTAACCGTTTCAGCCTAACTTGCCCAGAAAGCTCTTCTCTCAGCTGTGCTGCAAATCAGGGTGGAAGATAAGGTGGGGTCCTGTCCTAGAAATTATACAGCTAAATTGCTGTCTAGGCTGTAGTTGAAAGTAGGCAGAGCTGAACTGTGTTGGTTTTGCAACACATTGTCAGCTGTTTTATTCCCTAACTCAGATTAGGTCTGGATCCATTTTATGTATAAAGCCATGAATGCAAGTTTCTGGGACACTAAACTTCAAAGGCAGCCTAAGAGAAGCAGCTGATAAAGTCTGACCCTTTACTTCTTATTGACATGCCTTGATATTTTTTAGCTTGGTGGAGCTGATCATCTTTCTATCATCTCAGCCAAAATATTTGTTTCTTCCTTTGGTCTAGGTATGAAGAAGAAGGGCATAGAGTTAATCCGCTAGGAAATAAAGCCAAACACAAAACTGTCAAAAAATACTAATTTTGTTTTCCTTTATTTCTTTTATCTCCCTTTTCTAAAATATGCAAAATGTTTTTAAAAGATTTTCTGACAGAAACAAAAGCAACTACTGTTTCTATAGAAATACTGGGTTGATTTGGTGTGATGTGGTTTCATTTGGTTTGGCTTGGCTTGGCTTCACCTCGTTTGGTTTCAAATCCATTTTATTTGACAAACAGTTTTTAAGGAAAGTGACCTGCCAAGTCTTGTGTTTGTATCAGTGTTGACATCTGGCTTCCAGAGATTATTTGGAAGACTGCATGAACTTATTTATGCTATATATGTGTGTTAATGGCCAGTTACCAATATGATATGAGATACTCAAAATGAAGGGCACAAACTGCAGTTTTTCTGTGCCCTGAAGGAGTTATAAGATTGAATACGGCACATTGATTGCCAAAAACTATAGGAAGAAGGGAATTTGAGAGTGATACTAAGGGATAGTAGCATTATTGTGATTATACAGACTCCTTATGGGCACAGATGAATTGACTCATTTTTCACAGTTCAGTCTTATGTAGGAATTAATCAAGTGTTTCCCCAATGCAAGAATCAGCTTATGAATGACAGGGTATGTGAGAAATTTGGTTGAAGTAAGGACAGCTTCTTACAGGATGCACCTGTCTAGGTGGATAACTGCATCATGATTGTTAGTAAAGTAAACATCAGGCTTTTTTCCCTTATGTTTTATGATTTTTCTAAATCATTTACACTTTCATGTAATATTTTATAAATAGGGGCCAGCCAGATTATTAATTTCAAGCTCCAGGGTACTCTATATAATCAGCTAACCAGAAAAACTGAGATGTTAATGGAAACAGGATGATTTCATGTTTGTTGTATGCCTCACGCTGTGTCTCTTAGTTTCCAACTCTACTCTTTTTACAATTTCAGCACTGAATTGCATCCAATATGTACCATATCTCAGGCCAAGCAAGACCATGATGAGAAGCCTGGTGATAAGATGCTTAGAAGATCTGCAGCTGAAGATTATATTTCCAACTATGGCATAGGATTTGACCCAGCAGAGAATGAATTTGACTATGGTTTATGCAATGAAATAGTTAACGTAGCTTGCTCACCTAAACCTGACGCTTTCAATCCATGTGAAGATATAATGGGATACAACATTCTGAGAGTCCTGATATGGTTTATCAATGTTTTAGCTATCACTGGGAACATCGTAGTCCTCATTATTTTAATAAGCAGTCAATACAAACTGACCGTACCTCGTTTTCTAATGTGCAATCTTGCATTTGCAGATCTCTGCATAGGTATCTATCTGTTGTTTATCGCATCTGTAGATATCCAGACCAAAAGCCAGTATTACAACTATGCCATAGACTGGCAAACTGGGGCAGGGTGCAACGCTGCAGGATTTTTTACAGTGTTTGCAAGTGAACTCTCAGTCTACACGCTGACTGTGATAACTCTGGAAAGGTGGCATACCATCACCTATGCCATGCAACTGGACCGCAAGGTTCGATTTCGTCATGCTGTGATAATAATGATTTTTGGCTGGATATTTGCTTTCACAGTGGCACTTCTTCCCATATTTGGAGTCAGCAGCTACATGAAGGTCAGCATCTGTTTGCCCATGGATATAGAAACGCCATTTTCTCAGGCTTATGTTATATTCCTTTTAGTGTTGAATGTACTCGCATTTGTGGTCATATGTGCCTGCTACATCTGCATCTACTTTACTGTGAGAAACCCTAATGTCATCTCTTCAAACAGTGACACCAAGATTGCCAAGCGCATGGCCATACTGATCTTCACAGACTTCCTCTGCATGGCACCAATATCTTTTTTTGCAATATCAGCCTCACTCAAAGTTCCTCTCATCACAGTGTCCAAATCCAAGATCCTTTTGGTTTTGTTTTACCCCATCAATTCCTGTGCTAACCCTTTTCTCTATGCCATTTTCACAAAGACTTTCCGCAGGGATTTCTTCATTCTGTTGAGCAAGTTTGGTTGCTGTGAAATGCAAGCCCAGATTTACAAAACAGAGACCTCCTCATCTGCTCATAATTTCCACACAAGAAATGGACATTGCCCTCCTGCATCAAAAAACAGTGATGGGACTATTTATTCATTAGTTCCTCTGAATCACTTGAACTGAAGTGCTTGCATGAATTTGTGTCTGAGACAGTGTGATAATCACTTTCAACTGTGAATTTGAAGAATGACTTCAGCATAGCACGTAAACTTATTTTTTATGAGAAAAAAAAATATTTTCCCTTTGCTATTTTTGTTCAATGAACAACCATCAGAGATGACACATCATCTTCATCAGTCCTTGAAGGACAAAGAACAAAACTTCAATATGTGCCAAAGTGTCCTTGTAGAATTGTCTCAAGAAATAAATAAGATTATAAACTTGTATCTCCCACCACACAGGCAGAGATTCCCTTTGTTCTAGGAAGATGTTAGCTGCTTATGTAGTATTAAGTAGTGGTTATATATGGTTAAAAGAAAAAATATGTAGAATTAAATTTTTTGTCCGTGAAGCGTGTTGTAACAATGACAGATAATTAGCTCTTTCCATTAGTCATATCTCCTGGGGTTATAGGAGACAGAAATCCTACTTAAAGCCCTCCTTCAGCATAGACTTACTAGAAATAAGAATATCTTGTGTTATTTCCATTTCTGTTGACCACAGCAGAGGGGCAGGAAGCATCTCCAGCTATGCTGGTATTTGCTGTTCCAAGCTGCATGGACCTGCCTTTCTCTGCACTAAAGTGTCACTTTGGGTGGGATTTGTGTTCATCTAGATTGGAAGGCTCAGAGAACTGGATTTCATCTGGGCTTGGATTAAGGATTCTGGTTTGGGGTTTGTTTTCAATGTGAGAAAGAGCAAGAAAGATAGCAGTAGAAACTCTTCATAATAAGGGGGATGTTGTTCTCATGTTGGTCTCACAAAGTTGGGTTGAAATCAGTTTTGTGTGGCTGGACCCCTTGGGTAAGGCAAGATGGGCCAATGTGATACCCGAGGCAGGTTTGCTATACAGCGGTGTTAGTGCATTGCACTGTCTGGGCTGTGTAAGGGAAGATGGATCCAGATATGAAATTCTGAAAGTGTTCTTTCCCCTTCCCTTTAAAAAAAAAAAAAAAATCCTTCATGTGCACATTATCAAATGATGGTCCAGATTTAAAGACCTGAAAGAAACTATACACTGCATATGTTGAAATAACAACAAAGAAAAAAAACTCTTAATCAAGATTTTCTGATTTTACAGGGGTTTTTAATAACATCTCAATGAACATAGAGACTTTTTACATTATTTGAATATCAAACTTTTTGAAGGTTAATCATTCCAAGTCACAACAAAGATTTAGGGTTGGGTAGGGTTTTCTCATGCTGACTGTGTGTTTATGTGTGGGTATCTGGGCACAAAAAAAACACCAGGACAGGAGTCTGGGCTATGTTCCCACCTCACAAACAATTCACAATTTCCCTCCATGAGATTATAAAGCTTTGGAGTCTTCATGGTTAAATGTGAATGTGATGTGCTTTGAATATTTCCTGCCTACAAATCCTAAAATTTCAGTAGCAATTCTTGATGCTTCAATCCATAATTTCTCCTGTCATCAGCATCACATTTCAGCATCTGAACCTGATATGAGTAACTACAGAAGATGATTATTCAATCAGTCTTAAACAGGGAATGATATATAAGCTTCCTAGTGTAAAAACCAGGGGATTTCAAAGATAGTGTAGGGGTTTTTTTGCGGGGGGGATTTCATTACTCAACATAAGTAACACTCCCTCTAAGATACAGGAGAAGGAAGAAAGAAAGAGCAAAACAAGAAAGAGAGTTTGTCTCTGGGAAGCTGTTCTGATGATTCAGATGAATCATTTCTTCACAAATATTTTATGCCATGTACAGTGTACTGTTGTGCAGCCACTAAAACCCATCCCAAGGGAAGTGTCTGAATGATGAGGTTCCAAAACAACAAGTATTCTATTTGTATTAAAAATAGGCTCCTGAATCTATTCTTGGTCCAAAAATGAGGGGTGTTCTTTGGCAAACACTAGCCCATTTTTGGTGATAAATACGGCAAATCCATGTAGTGCATCACACTTTTTGCCTGGGCCCTGACCACTTGCAGAAACAATAGGATGAGACCTGGCAGTTCAGGAGAGTACAGGCATAGTCTAGAAGCCAGTCTTGTAAATCCTCTCACAGCAACATCAGGTACACAAGCTCATCTGTCCCATGCAAAACCATTGCCCAGGCATTTGCAGAATCGGGACCTGGTTAAATATGCTTGGCAAATAAACACCCCTGAAAAGACACTTGGCAAGAGATCTCTGTCTTGTAGCCAGAGTCAAACCCAGGGGCTAAGGGATGAATCCATCTAGCCTAGGCTCTTTGTCCAGAGAAGACAAGGGATGATACTTGAAGAGCAAGTAGAGTCTGCACTTTGTGTCGTCCCTAGCACAGAAATGCTTGAGGCACATGTCATCCTGCCCACATGTGCTGCACAGGAGCTTCAGTGTCAGCTCAGGCTGTGGCACCAGCTCCAAAGCTGGGAGGCTGACTGTGTGGTTGCCAAGACAAAAAAACCTCCTTCTTGTAGTCCTCAGACCTCCTTGGCTTTCATTATTCTTTGGATTTTAATTTTAAGCATCTTCTAA